CTGGAAATCCTGCCGACGTCCTGGGTCTCCGAGTCCTGGCGCCGTCTGCCTGGGAATCAGAGTCCCCTGGGCCTCTCTGGGGTCCAGCTCTTGCCTTTCAAACCCATATCCAAAAGTTCCCTGATAAACGTTTGCTCAGTTACTTTTCTTTCCTCGTCTCCAAGTTATCTGACCAGGTTTTTGATTTTCCATTAGAAAAACAACACACGTGTTTCTTGACTCGTTGCAATGAGCACGTGCTACTTCCTACAGACAACACGCCGCTGGGGGCACCTGCACCCATATCAGAGTGCCTGGGTCTGAGTCCCAGCTCCGCTTCTGAGCCAGCTTCCTGCTCATGTGCGCCCTGGGAGGCAGTGGGTTCCTGCCACCCACTTGGGAGACCTGGATTGAGTTCCTGGCTCCTGGCTCTGGCCTGGCCCAGCCCTGGCTTCTGCAGGCATCTGGGGAGTGAACCAGCAGATGGAAGAGTTCACTCTCTCTGTTGCTCGCCCTTCCAATAAATGAATAAAACTTAGGGAAAATATCCAGCAAAGGGATGAGGAGGGGGAAAGGGCCTTTCAAGATGTGAGAGGTCCTAGCCAGATGCCTGGCACATGGCACTGCCCCCAAGTCTTAGCCCCAGCACCACAGAGGGGAGGCCACAGCCCAGGCAGCGGCCACATAGGGGGCGGAGCTTCGTGTTCAAGGCCTGGTCCAGAGTTGGGGTCAAGGCCGAGGTTCTCCCAGGCTCTGCTAAGATGAGTAGGAGAATGCCGGCGCCATGGCTCACTAGGCTAATCCTCCGCCTGCGGTGCCGGCACACCAGGTTCTAGGCCAGATTCTGTCCCGGTTGCCCCTCTTCCAGTCCAGCTCTCTGCTGTGGCCCGGGAGTGCAGTGGAGGATGGCCCAGGTCCTTGGGCCCTGCACCTGCATGGGAGACCAGGAGGAAGCACCTGGCTCCTGGCTTCAGATTGGCGCAGTGCGCCGGCTGCAACACGCCTGCCATAACAGCCACTTGTGGGGGTGAACCAACGGCAAAAGGAAGACCTTTCTCTCTCTCTCTCTGTCTAACTCTGCCTGTCAAAAAATTTAAAAAAAAAGATGAATATGAGAGAAGATGCTTTCTCCCCTCTGCCTCCAGTCAGTGTGACCAAGACCCCTGTCAGGCTGAACACACCAGAAGGGCACAGGTCCCTTTCCCCACCATCCAGGGATGCTATACTTTGGGCATGGTTGGGGCGTGGCTTTAGCATGTTCTCCAAGATCACGCATGTCGGGAGCACGGCCCCCAGCATGGCCATTGGAGGGGTGGGACCACTGAGAGGTGGGGCTCAGGGGACCCTTTTGTGTTAACAGAAATGGCCAGTGACTCCCCCAAAAGGGCAGCTGCTCACCGCCGGGGCTGACAGCCCAGGGCCAACCTCGTTCCCGTGGGCACACGGCTTTATCTGTAGGACCCCGGCCCCTCTGCCCAGGCTGTTGCTGCGGGCTGATGGTCAGCCTCCCCGCCTCCCTGCCCTCCCCTGCATGATTGCACAACCAACTCCCTCCACCTGTGTGTGCCTCACGGCTCTCCCAGGGACACCCAGCCCAGCCCTCTGGGCAGAACCCAGGCCCCGCCGTCCTCTCCTGCCGCAGAACGCACTGAAACGCTGCCATGAAGGTTGGATTTATTGTTTTTAAACTCTTTATTTATTTACTTAATTTATTTTTATTTAAAAGGCAGAGAGAGAGAGAGAGAGAGAGAGAGAGAGGAGATCTCCCTCCCACTGGTTCACTCCCCAGATGCCAGCACCAGCTGAGGCTGGGCTGGGTCAAAGCTGGGAGCTGGGGACGCCTATGTGCGTGGCAGGGACCCAGACACTGAGCCCTCACCTGCTGTCTGCCAGGCTGCGCATCAGCAGGAAGCTGGAGTCAGAAGAGGAGCCGGCACTCGAACCCAGGCACCCCGGCCGAGGCTGGGGCGTCCCGGGCAGTGTCTTACCCACAGCACCTCCCTAATGAGTCATCTTTCCTGGGCCTGGGGCCCCACTCGGGTGCCGGGAGGGCACTTAAGGGCAGGAGTCAGGCCCTGCGTGGCGGGGGCTGGGGAGCTGCAGCGTGGACGTCCACAGGGACCCTCCGGGATCTCAGGCTCCGGTGTTGCTGGGAACTCCTCGGGGATCTTGGTTTGTAACCTTTTCCATCTTGCGAGATGCTGGGGTGTGCAGGAAGCAGAGGCGCAGGCCAGCAGGCACCTGTGGCTTTGCAAAGACCTGCAGCCCTTCTGGAGAAGTTAGCGCTCCTGTGTGTGGCTTCTGTGGCCCTGTTTGGTTTCTGCTTCTCTCCCTGTGTCTTCCTTTTCTCCTTCTTCAAGTTTCCTTGTCTAGTTTTTGTAGGGGAAGGAGCACCAAATAACTTTTTTGAACAAACTGAATGAAAAATAAGTCCAAATGTCCATTTCGATGGGTCAGTTTGGGGGGGTGGGGACCAGCCTGCAGGGCCTCCAAGGGCCTGCACTGCCCCTCCTGCTCACCCTGGAGCTCTTCTTGCTGACCCTGGAAGGCCACAGGCCCCCTCCCCACCTCCCTTCTTTGCCTCCTGCTCTGGGCTCTGAGCCACAGAGCTCGCCCATCTCACCACCCTCTACCTCCTTCTCAGGACGGCCGCAATGACTGCTCCTGAGCGCCATCTACTGGCCACGTTCTTCGCCTCCTACTGCTGCGCTTCCTTCTTACACATTCCTGGCCCTGGGTCGCGGCAGGCGCATTGTCAGATGGTTGTACGATATTTGCTGCTGTGCGTGCACACGCCTCGCAGCTCGCTCACCTCCGTGTGCAGCCCAGCGCTCCCCAGTGTGTTCACAGAGCTGCACCACCAGTTTTAGAGCACTGTCCCCGCCCAAGAAGAAGCCCCGCACCCCCAAGCAGCCACTCTGGTTCCCCTGGAGACCAGCACTGTGCGGCTGCCTGCCTCTTGCATTCGCCCCCTCTGGACTTTGACTTGAAGGGAGTCGCATGCGGCAAGGCCCCCTGTGTCTGGCTGGCTTCCCCGAGCACCTGCGTCCGGGGTTCTCACACACTGCGGCCTGTGTCAGGGCGTCCTTCCTTTTATGGCCAAGTGATGTTTCATTACCAGCTAGGACCCCGTTCAACGGCTGATGGACGTTTCTGCCTTTTGGGCACCATGAATAACGCTGTCCTGAGCACCACACTCAGTGTGCGCGAATGTGGCGCGTGTGTGTGTGTGGACCCTGTTATTCTCTGGAGGATCCGGCCAGGAGCAGAACTGCTGGACAAGCCCGCAACTCTTGAATCAGGTGAGGAGCTGCCGTGCGGCCTCCCAGAGGGGCCGCACCTGTCACGTCCCCGGCCGTGGAGGAAGGCCCCAAATCCTCCTCAACGCTTGTCTTCCGGCTTTCTGATTCTGGCCATCCTAGCAGGTGTCAAGAGGGGTCTCACCGAGCTTGGTGGTAACGCTGTGAGCATCTTTCTGTGTGTGTATCTGCCATCTGTGCATCTTCTCTGGAGAATGCACAAGTCCTTTGTCCATTTAAGCCCTGGGTTAGCTGTCCCTTTGTCACTGAATTGCCGTAGTTCATATCTGGGACACAGCTTCTTGATCAGATGTGTGGCTTGCATTTCCCCCAATTCTGTGAGTTGTTTTTTTTTTCTACTTTCCCCATGATGCCCCTTGCAGCATAACTTTAGTTTTTGAAGAAGTACGATTTGCTTCTAGTTACCTGTGGTCTCGTCTCATCTAAGAAACCATTGACTGCGCCAGCACTGTGCGGATTCACACTCGTGTTTTCTTCTAAGAGTTTTATGTGTTAACTCTTGGATGCGTTTTGAGTTCACTTTCGTGTGGGGTGTGAGGAACGGCCGGAGTGCATCCTTGGCATGCGGATATCCAGGTGTGCCTGCACCATCCGTTGACAAGGCTCTCCCGTTTGGATTTTATCTTGGAACCCTTGTTGAAAAACCAACTGGCTATACACTTGCGGCTTTATTGCTAGACTTGCAGTTCCATCTGACTGACACCTAGGTGCATCCTTAGCTGGTACCACATTGTCCTCCATGGCCATTCCTAAAGTGGATAGATGCTCTGGATCGCAGAATTGAGAGAGAGAGAGAGAGAGAGAGAGAGAGAGAGAGAGAGAGAGAGAGAAGGAAACTTCCAAAGCCCGAAACTTCTGCCTGAGTGCCAGCCCCTGCCCACACGGCACTGCCCCTTCCCCATCAGCGTCCGGCACAGTTTCCCTGCAGACGGTGCCTGACTCACTCCAGGAGGCTGCACAGGCGTGCCCCACAGCTCGGGTGCTGCTCCGTTGGCCATGGTGGGCCCGTGCTGCTGAGAGCCACACTCGTGTCTGTTGCAGATTGGTTGGGTCCTTGGCAAAGGCGAGGCCAGGCCCTGGTGCTGGTGAGGACGGGGAAGTGGCTTACTCAGAGGGCTTCCCTGGGATCGGATGGGGCTGGACTTGGCGGTGGCCCTCCCGGCTTGTAGCTGAAGGTCTGTGTCCCCCTCTGGTTCTGCAGTGACCGTCACGTCTTCATCTGGGGCCCCTTCTCTGCGCTGCTCTCTGCCTGCCTGTCCGCAGGACGTGGGGCTCTCTGTGGTCTCGGTTTCCAGGGCCCCTCCTTTGTGGCTCTCTGAGGTGCTCTGATGGGAAGAGCTGCAGGGAGGAACCCCACAGTGCATTTCAGGCGCACCTTACAAATTACGCTCCCTCCTGCCTGCGGTGGGTCATCCCACCTGGGGGGGTCCTCGTGTTTGTTTTCACCTCCCAGTCTCTCCCTCTGATCTCCAATGCCGGGCAGGTGGCCTGCATTGAAAGGCACACGTGGTCCCTGTCATGAAAACAACCAACTTTGGGGCCCACAGAGCAGGGACCACACTCGCAGCTCCGCAGCCCTCTGTGCTTGGCTTCGGCCGAAGCCGGGCGGCTGCGGCAGGGGACGGCCTTTCTGGAGGTGTCTGGAAGAGCACAGGTTCAAAGTCTGGAATCCGGCTGAAGCCGTCTGTCACCCGTTCCCAGGCCTCGGCCCTGCTGGCGCTGCTGCTACTGCTGGACGGGGGCATGCTCTCCTCGCCCGCGCCGCCCCCCGGCCCCCTGGAGAAGATCGGCCGGTACATCGACCTCCACCAGGATGAGTTTGTCCAGGTAGGAGCGGCTGCACTGCCCCGGGATCTGGGCGAGATGCCTGCTTGCTGGGGGAGGTGGACTTTTTTGCCTGACAACTTAATCCCCTTACAAATTTGATTCCGTAGGGAATTAGAGGTCAGTACTCATTAGGCCTGTGTGAGATCACTGCCCCAGGCCTGCCACTACACGGGACCTTGCGGAGCGTCCCCAGCTCATGGGATCCCGCAGTGTCCACCTGGGACGGCAGCTCTGATCAAGCTGTACTTAACGCCCCAGGTCCTGGCCCCCCGCTGTTCTTCTGCACCTTCCCCGCTCCTCCTGCTTCTGACTCCTTCCCTGTGGTCCCCACCCCCACGGTGCATGGCCCAGCTGGCCAGCCACACCTGCGCAGTTGCTCAAGTGAGGTCCGGGCAGAGCTGAGGGGCCAGAGTCTCTGAGAAGCCGGCGTTGTGTGCACGGCAGCCTGGGTGGAACATGACCTTTATCTCTACCCTCACGGCCCTCTACTCCCAGAGTGTGGGAGGAAGGGGAGCTGGAGGCCGGCATGGGAGAGGGGAGAGCAAGGGCTGGCTGTAGCTCCAGTCCCGCCAGGCAGCTCCCAGCTCTGCTTTCCACCCTTCTATGGGCCACACACCCCCCACCCCATGCTGCGGCATTGTTGCTTTTGCTCACCAGCCTGTGAGCTCCCTGGGGCCTCACTGGACTTTGGGCCCTGGGCCCCCAAACCACCTGGCGCGTGGTCGGCACTAGGTATATGTTAATGGAATCAACGCACCACTTGCAGGGCTATTCTTGTGCAAACAATTAGATAGGTGCAAAGATGAGTGTCCAGGCCAGGTTCCAAAGTTTAAGCTGTGTGCAGCCCCCCACCCCCACCCCACTGGAGAGCTGACGTGACACGGGGGCCTTCTGGGGAGGGATTTCCAGAACAGGCTGCAGCCACGAGGCCGGGAAAGGCTGGGGGTGGGGTTGGGTGCTGGTTTGGGCCTCTTCCCGCCCCTTCCTCTGTACCTAAATCCGTTCAATTCAGGGAGAACCCAGTCGCATGGGCTCTACAAATTCTACTTTAAGAATTGTGATGTGCAAAATTCTCTAAATTACAATACAAATGAAAGTACTGTATCCAGGATAGAGAGAGCCCCAGAAAAGAAGCTAGGAAGTGGAGTTCGAGAGGAGCTGTCCAAAATACGGGCATCTCTTCAGGAAAGTGACAACTGTACCGGTCCCAGCCCCGGGCTGTGACTGTGCACGGGTCGTCGCCATGCCCCTGCAGGTGGGCAGCTCAGTCCTCTGCACAGAAGGGACACCTCGCAGACCAACAGGTGCAGCCAGGGGGTGGCGGCGAATTGTAAATACAGAGCATGGCCAGGAGGAGCCAGCAGAGGCCGCTGCGGGGATAACTGCTGTGAGCCAGGGTGGCCCAGAGGCGTCAGGGGCACTGGAGGGAAGTCAAGTGTCCCCGGGGAAGGCCGCTGCCCTGATGGGGCGGGGAGGGGACCAGCTCTTGGCTCCTAGGAACTAGAAACTGCAGAGAGGAACTTGCCTGGGTTTGCAAGCCTGCTGGACCCCCTGGGGCACCTGCTCCATCTCATGGCCCTGGCCTCTGGTTCGCAACCAAACCCCAGTGCACAGCCAGTTACTCCCGCAGGACCCCATCTGCACTCGTGTAGCCTCACCGAGGGTCCTGGGCCCCCTCAGGCTAATCCTGCATTGCCTCTCTGCACAGACACTCAGGGAGTGGGTGGCCGTGGAGAGCGATTCTGTCCAACCCGTGCCTCGTCTCCGGCAAGAGCTGCTGCGGATGATGGCCATGGCTGCCGAGAAGCTCCAGCGCCTGGGAGCCAGCGTGGACTCCGTGGACCTGGGTTCTCAGCAGGTGCTGTCGGTCTCCCTCCTGCCCCAAAACGGCTGCTTTTGTGGGCATCAGCCACGTCTTCCCAGGATGGTGACAAGAGGGGGCTTTCCCTGACCAGCAATCAATACCCCCCTCAATCGCGACTAAACCTGCCCCCCTTGTGGGCCTATCAGGACTCCCAAGGTTGGGAGCCAGTGGAGGAGGCAGGAAGGACAGCTGATTTTGGAAAGCACCCCTCTCCCCACTCCCCCAACCTCCTTGTACTATTTGCTTTTTTTGCAGGGATTGCTCAAATTTCTCCCAAATTCCCCTTTCCCATCAATGTCTCTGCTTCTTTCTCAAAGGCCCCGTGTACAGCTCTGCATTATTTTATTTTAAAAAATCGATTTATTTTATTTGCAATGCAGAGAGAGAGAGGGAGAGAGATTGTCCATGTACCATGCATGGGGTTCATTCCTCCATGGCTGCATCAGCCAGGTTGTGGCCCAGGAGCCTGGAACTCCATCTGGGTCTCCCACATGGGTACTTGGGCCATCAGTGCCTACTTTTCCAGGCCATTAGCAGGGAGCTGGATCGGAAGTGCAGCAGCCAAGATTCGAACTGGTGCTCATATGGGATGGCGCATTGCAGGCATTGGCTAACCTGTTGTGCTACCGCGTCAGCCCGTGCACTGCATTCTGTCATCAGAACCTTGTGCTGTGGCTTCGGCCAGCCCCAGAAGTATCTGCCCCCCATTTTAATGCAGCTGAGATCTGAGTTCTTGTTGAAGAGCACGTCCAAGTACCCTTTGAGGGCGAGCTCACGGAAGGGCTGCACTGCCCATTATGTTTTATGTTTAATCAGCGTTTTAGAGATGCGAAAACACAGGATGAGCTCTGCGGAGACAGGGACCGGCCCCCCAGTGCCAGGCCTGAGTTTTCTGCACGTGTCATAGAGGACACATTAAAACAGCACGACTGTTTTCCTCTGCAGCTGCCTGGTGGACAGAGTCTTCCTCTACCGCCCATCCTACTGGCCGAGCTGGGCAACGACCCAAGGAAACCCACTGTGTGCTTCTACGGCCACCTGGACGTGCAGCCCGCGAAGCAGGGCGACGGGTGGCTGGCAGACCCGTACACGCTGACGGAGGTGGACGGTCAGTGACCCTCAAGCCCAGGGATGCTGGATGAAGACTCTCGGCCGGGCCCCTGACCTCAGCCTGCTCCAACCTGTCGCTAGCAAGAAGCAGAAAGGCTGTTCCCGGGGCTGCCACGCAGCTCTTTCATTTCCGGGGCAAATGATGAACTTTGTGCCCCTGGATGGGGGGTGGGGGGCGGGTCTCAGGTTCTCAGGAAATTGGTCATCTACTCACACGTTTGTCTTCTTTTTTTAAAACTGGAGAACAAACGTATTTTAAAATAGTTATTTATTTGAAAGGCAGAGAGACAGACACGGATCCTCCATCCGATGGCTCACTCCTCAGCCATCTGCAATGGTCAGGGCTGGGCCAGGCTGGAGCCGGGAACTCCATCCCGGCCTCCTATGTGGGTGGCAGGGACCCCCTACTACTTGAGCCATCACCTGTAGCGCTTGAATCCAGGCCCTTGGGTGTGGATGTGGGTCTCCCAACTGGTATCTTAACCACTAGGCCAGGCACCTGCCCTGTATTTTTGTCTTAGATAGAATTCGTATTTTATAAAGAATAGAGTAAGGAAGGTTAATAGACGTACCCACATATCTTTTCCCATTCGTCTGCTGATTGTAGACTCTCACAGCCCCTGATATTCCACAGCACATCCTCGGGTCTCTTCAGTGAATTGGATAAAATAGTTGTCGACCACAAGGCCAAGGGGGATCTCTGTGCGTTCCAAGTTAGCTTATTTTATCTGACCTACTCGTGACCATCCCAGTCGTGCGAAGAAATCCCACCTGGCAATTCAGAGCCACATGGTGTCTGGAACACCAGAACACACTGTTACACCAGGACCCATGAAACAGCGCTTGCTCCTGGCTCACTCAGCAGAGGCAGCCACACTTCCTGAAAATTCTTCCTCTGTGTTTACAGGAAAACTCTATGGCCGGGGAGCCACAGACAACAAAGGCCCTGTCTTGGCTTGGATCAATGCTGTGAGCACCTTCGGCGCCGTGGAGCAAGTAGGTGGCTGTTTGGGATGGAGGGCGGGGGACATGCTGGTGACAGAGGATGCCCGCAGGCTTGCGGTAGCTTTCGGCGGTCCTTGGAGGAGTGTGCCCCCGTGACATCCACCTGCAGACGAGAGCTTACCCAGGGCAGCCTGCTAGTGACAGCACCCACGCTCTGAGGACATGTTAAAACACAAAACCCAACCCAAACATGACAACCTTGTGGCTGAGCTACTGTTTGCTCTGACTTGTCATTTAAAAAAATAATCTTTGTCCTTGTCATCTTCCCTCTTTTTTTATCACTAGCAAAGACACACAAACTCCTAAACCTGAGTTGGCTACTTGGCAAGGTACTGAGATTTAAATAACTGCTGCAACACAGCCTTTTTTTTTATTTTTTAAAAATGTATTTATTTGTGGGCTGGTGCCGCGGCTCACTAGGCTAATCCTCCACCTGCGGCACCGGCACATCAGGTTCTAGTCCCAGTCAGGGCAGCGGATTCTGTACCGGTTGCCCCTCTTCCAGGCCAGCTCTCTGCTGTGGCCCGGAGTACAGTGGAGGATGGCCCAAGTGCTTGAGCCCTGCACCCGCATGGGAGACCAGGAGAAGCACCTGGCTCCTGGCTTCGGATCAGCGTGATGCGCCGGCCACAGGGCGCCGGCCGTGGCGGCCGCTGGGGGGTAAACCAACGGCAAAGGAAGACCTTTCTCTCTGTCTCTCTCTCTCTCACTGTCCACTCTGCCTGTCAAAAGAAAATGTATTTATTTGAGAAGCAGAGTTAGAGAAGTTGGGGGGCGGGGTGAGATAGAAATCTTCTATGCACTGGTTCACTACCCAGATGGCTGCAATGGCCAGAACTGGGCCAGGTCAAAACTCAGGGGCAGGAGCCCCACCCAGGACTCCCATGTGGGTGGCAGGGCCCAAGTACTCGGCCATCTCTGCTGCTTTCCTCACGGGGAGCAGGATCTGAAGCAGAGCAGCCAGGACTCAGTCTGGTGCCCCAAGATGGGATATTGTCATCGCAGTCAGAGGTTTAACCCCCTGCACGTGAAGCCCACCCTACTGGACAGGCTACGCCCTGGGGGCTCTTCCTTTGGGTGCCTGGGGGCTTCTACCAGGTGTGCTGGGTGGTTGCCTCTTCTGTTATGCAACAGAGGACCTTCCTGGGCCCAGGTTTGCATTTTTAACTGCCTGAGGCCGGGTTCCCTAACCAGTCTTCTACCAGCCAATGTGCTTCAACCCCTGATGGTGGAATCCAGCTGCGTGGCGGCGGGGCTCAGACTCTGCACTGTGAAAATGGCTGCCTGGATGTGGGTGCCATGCGGAAGGCTGGCGACCCGTGTTGCCCAGGCATGGCCCTTCTTGCTCCCACGGGAGCTCGAGGGGGACCTGGCCTTGGAGCCCAGCCCCTCTCATTCCCCTCAGGGCCCTGGAACCTGCTGCTGAGGAGGACTGGCTCCAAGGTCAGGGACACCTGTGAGGGGCTGGGAAGGGCACGAGGGAGGGAGGGCAGTCGCACCACCCCACTCCCAAGGGCTCCCCCGGTAGCTCCCCTCTAGCTGCGGCCTGGACGCGGCAGTGGAGGAAACACAGAGCACTTACCGTGTGCCAGACCCGGCGAGAGGCCCGGGACTGACGTGCAGGCACCAGCAGCCCTGGCCTTGGTGATGCTCACCCTGCCCCCTCACTCACTCTGGGCTTCTTAGCACCTTCCCCTTCCGCTGAGCGCACGTTATGGAGGTGCCTCCTTTTAGAACAGGAAGTCTGCCAGCAGCAATTTTTAAATCCCAGGACTGAGATTTTACTCAAATATGCAGAAGCAGCTGATATTAACACTGTTCAGTGTGGCCCTCTGGCGTCAGCGAGGCTTTGTGCTGGCTCCGAGTGGCGGCAACACACGGGAATGAGAGCTGTTTCCTGATCTGGCCCTACAAAGTATCAGCACCCAGGGTGCACCGAGGAGTCTGTGAAACTAACCTTAAAACTACACGGCCTTAGAGAAAAAGTCCTGTCCAGCATGTCTACCTCCTTCTCATTAGCAAGGCTTTAATTCAATCAAGTGCTTTGAACACTGGCTATTTAAGAAGGAAACAGGGCCCATTTGTTGGGCTCATGGGCTAAAAGCAAAGTGGGGCTGCATCACCCAGCAAGCCCCCTGCTGACCTGGGCAGAGGCTTGGGGAGCAGAAAAGCCTTTCTGAGACAAAACAGGTTTGGGACCGGGTTTCAGCTGGGGAGAGACGAGAGTGGGAGTCGGTCTCTGGGTGCCACCTCCACGGGTAGACACAACACCACGTGGGGCGGCCCCAGGCTGGCCCGAGGCTTCCAGGGTCCGTCTTCGGGGGTGCCCCTCCCTGGTCCCTCCATGGGTGCGGCCCTGGACGTTGGCAGTGTCCTTCCCTGGAGACAGTTTCGTCCGATGCCAGGGGGCGGCCTCTCGGGGGGTTATTTTCCACTGAGACACAAGCAGATGAGGAGGGAGTTAACTACTCCTGACTTAACTCCCTTATCTCGCGGAGAAAGGCAAGCTGGAGAAATCAGAGTGCGTTCCTGGCTGGGTCCTGCTGACCACTGCAAAGCTGTCTTCTTATCCACGATGCTCACTTAGCTGAACAAGCTCTGAGCATTTGCTATGGCCTGGGCTTCCCACCTGCCCACACATACTCCTTCCACGCTTCCCCCCTCTCTCTCCTCTCTTCCCTCTCCTCTCTCTCCTCTCTCCTCTCTCCTCTCTCCTGTCTCCCCCCCCCCCATTCCTTTGGGGTAAGTAATACTTATAAGAAAGAGCCTAAATAAATTCTGAAATCTGCCTTGCTTTTCAGATTTCAATCCTACCGCGCCTCATTTTCTGACCTGTGAGCTGGCAGGGCTCATTTCTGCCTCACAGACTTGTTGAGAAGTTCAAGCAAAGAAAGAAAGATCCACGAGGCCCTCTGGTGGCACCAGGCCCCTCCTGAGGGTCAGGATCTCGCTCGCTCCCTCTCTCCTGGCCTTGTTCACAGAGAACTGGAACCATGTCACTTCACTGTGTTGTTCTCCTAGGAGGCAGGATGAGTGTTAATGCCCACATGTCACAGAGAGGTGGCTGCCGATGGTGACCGGGCACATCCTGGGTGTGAAGAAGCAGCGTGGACTCTACACAGGCCGGGGTGCTGGCCCAGTCCTCCTCCAATGGCTTGATTTGTGAATTGTATTGATTTACTCATTTTTATTTGAGAGGCCAGGGGACACAGAACAAGGCAGATTGAGAGAGCTTCCATCTGATGGTTCACTCTTTTTTTTTGACAGGCAGAGTGGACAGTGAGAGAGACAGACAGACAGAAAGAAAGGTCTTCCTTTGCTGTTGGTTCACCCTCCAGTGGCCCCCGTGACCGGCACGCTGCGGCCGGCGCACCGCACTGATCTGATGGCAGGAGCCAGGTACTTATCCTGGTCTCCCATGGGGTGCAGGGCCCAAGCACTTGGGCCATCCTCCACTGCACTCCCTGGCCACAGCAGAGGGCTGGACTGGAAGAGGAGAAACCAGGACAGAATCCGGTGCCCCAACCGGGACTAGAACCCGGTGTGCCGGCGCCGCAAGGCGGAGGATTAGCCTAGTGAGCCGCGGCACCGGCCCTGGTTCACTCATCAAAGGTCCTCAACAGGTAGGGCTAGGCCAGGTCAAAGACAGGAACTCAACCCAGGTGTCCCATGTGGGTGGCAGGGACCCAACAGCTTGAGCCAGCACCTGCTGTCTCCCAGTGTCTGCATTAGAGGGAGGCTGTAGTCAGCAGTGGAGCCAGGACTGGAACTCGGGCACTTCTGCTAGGAATGTAGGCATTCCCTCCACTAGGCCAAAAGCCCACCCCAACTTTGTGCTTTATTGAATATGATTTGGCAGAAAACCCTTAGAAATGCCAATGCAAAAAAAAAAAAAAATTCCAACGGCTCTCAGCAGTTGTTGGAAGTTAAATGTTAACGAAGAACTTGCAATGATCAAGATCTCAGAAATTTAACTCAGCTTTCTGAGATGCACAAAAACGCCAGCGGTCTGTTTGAACAAATCATTTTCCCAGAATGCCCTCCTCCAACGGCACCGGGGAAGGTCACTCGTCTTCCAGCACGTAATCCTCTACCCAGCTTGCATGTGTTAATCCGCGCAGAGTCAATCCCACTCTTAGAGCTGATTAGCATGTTTGTACTGTGTCGTTTATCTGCATATAATTACTTCCACGGGGATTTCTCCCACTCCTCTGCTCAGGAAAACACTCTGACCTCTCTTCTGAATGTGGCTCTCCAAGATATGAAGTTAGGAATTATAAAGGCACAAAAAGATCAAAACCAAATGGCAGACAAAACACATTGTAAAAATTTTAAAGGAGCTGTGCCATGCTCTAATATTAACTAGAGAAAAACTCAAGCTCCATTTACTGCAAGATCAAAGCCTTTGAATAAGTTAAAAGGCAGATTGAAATCATCGCTGAAAAATAACAGATACTTGAAATAAAAGTGATCCGGAGGCTTAGCAGTCTTTCAAAGGAAAAAGTCCTCATTTATCATGCTCAGAATTATGAGAACAGAAAAGGGATTTGTAGCCGAGTAACCTTTCTTGAAAAATGCCTTTTGGAGAGAAGGAGGAAATGTTCTTTCTGCAGCAGCAGAGACAGCACCTTGGTGCAGCTGCTGCTTTTTCCTGAGGAATTCCTGCCCCAAATTCTTCCGCGTGGCGTCGAGTTGCTGGGCTGTGCTGGCGAACACACAGTGGGCATCCCCGAGGCCTTTATCATCTTGGTTAAAGCAGAGCTGCTGGCAAGGTAGAAAATGCAAGCGTTGAATGTTCCTGGGGATTTCGGTGCTTGGCCGGACCCACGGCCCCGACTCCGCAGAGCCGAGTGGGCAGGGGTGCCGCGTGTCTCCTCCTGCTGCAGGACCTGCCCGTGAATGTCAAATTCGTCCTTGAAGGCATGGAGGAGGCGGGCTCTGTGGGCCTGGAGGAGCTCGTTCGCAGAGAGAAGGAGCGCTTCTTCGCGGGCGTGGACTACATCCTGATTTCTGATAACCTGTGGCTCAGCCGGAAGAAGCCTGCACTCACCTACGGCACGCGAGGAAACAGCTACTTCCTGGTGGAGGTATTCGGAGATGGCTCTGGGGGCTGGGAACAGGATGAGGGGAAGCTCTTCTGAGACCCAGCCTGTACCCGGGACTGCAGCCCGGGGTCCCCGTTCTCGGGGCAGCCCGGGTTCATGAGGCCTCCAGCACTTGGGGCCGTGTGCCTGTGTGCATCCCTCTCAGGAGAGCGTCAGAGGCGCTTTGACTTGGAACCAGGGCTGTGGAACTTGGAGGCCACAGGAGCAGCCCACGGGAGGTGGGGCCACCACCTGGCCAGGGGCTGCGAGTGCCAACGTCACAGATGCAACTGCCAACGTCAAGGGCAAAGAGAAGGCCACTGTCGTCGCCCAGGCTCCTGCGAGGGGCAGCCTGGTGCAGGCCCTGGACCCTGAACTGGTGCTTGAGTGGGCACCCTGAAGGCCCCTGCAGGCGGCTGTGACGGCCACACAGTCACTTTCCTTTGCTTTCTGTCCCCCTTCCCCCCAACACACAGGTGACTTGGCATAGTACTCAGCGTTTAAGATCGAAAGTTCCCTGTGTAAATAATTAGCTGGGTAAATAATTAGCTATTTACCCACTTCGGTTTATTTTCTCACTTCACAGTATCTGCAGACCCCATCCAATCCCCGGGGAATTGTGAGGTCTGAATGCTATAGCCAGGAAGAAAACACACATTATTATGCCTGGGGCTACTGGATCCAGGCTCTGAGCTCCAGGAGTTGTGTGGCTACGAGCCAGAGAGCCACAGGGAGAAGATGAGCAAGTGAGGGGGAGAGAGGAAACAGGGCGTCCTGTAGAACCCTCTGTCAAGGCACCTGGCCGTGAGAATCAGGCACGTGGTAGAATAGCGGCAGTGACTGAGGCGGGGGAGACCTGAGAGTCAAGGGTATGCGGGAGAACGAAGGCGCTTAGGGGCTGGGAGCGGAGGCGACCCTGAGCCAAGGGATGGCATCGGCCTCTTCCATGGGGGTCAGGTGCAGCGCTGCTGTTTTGCTGTGCTGGCCTCTGTGTGTTACTGTTGTGCAGGGGGGAGGTTCCCCTGCAGAGAAGCAATGGCTTGAAGTGGCCGCTGTGGCAACGCATCAAGAGGCAACGCTTGAAGAGGCGTCAAGCGGCAGTGAGGCCCCGTCCGAACAGATGGGTCACTTTCTGCAGCTGTGCTCAGTAGTCAGAGACAGAAGTGGCCCACGTGAGTGGGGCCGACCCGGGGTTGAGGTTGACTGTGGAGGGTGTGATGGAGAAAGGAGGGACGAGCCAGCCGAGAGAGATCAAAGTGATGAGAGGCGGCTTTTTGGTCGTGTCGGGGAGGACGGTAGGTTGGAGAATGGTGGAAAGGTTGAGAAACTAGATGCTTTGATGAGGACCAGGAACAGGTGGTACGGAAGGGGCACGAGAGAAGAGAGACGATCGGAAGGGGGATTTCAGTTAAGATTTCGGAGGTGAGACGTGTAAACCCTGAGAGTGCTTTAGCTAGTATTATTGCCTAATAGGATAACGGCCTGGACTAAAGTGATTACATGGACGTTTCAGCTGGCGGTATAAAGTCAGATGGGAGCAGGCCACAGCGGGCTGGGCAGAAATGTCAGACGGACGAGCACTGAAGACAGAAATCAAAACCACACACACAGCCCGTGTGGAATTGCTAACCATGTACGGTGTGAACAGAAGTCAAGCGGGTGGGCAGTCATTGTAGCAGGAGCTTCTGAATTCCAGAGACCAGAAGCATCCCCAGCAGAATGGCCCGTAAGCCACCAGAAAGCTTAGGGCCGGCGTTTAGGTAACAGGTCAGCCCCACAGGGACGAACATTTAAGGGCACGGAGCTAGGAAACGACGCCACTTGAGTTCCTGAAGACCTGAGTAGACAGGAACTTGAGCTGCAGAGGCGAGAGAAGGAAAGAAGTCGCCGGAGGAGCGACATCAGGGGACTGTGCGGATGGCAGGAGGACAACAGGGGAAGGACCAGGAGGAGGGCTCTTTGCGGTGTGGGGTGGAACGGTACAGCACCAACAGTTTGGCCAAGGTGGGCTGGGCTGGCGGTCTGGGCTGGAACTGTATTTGTGGATGGGTGTGGCGTGGAGGGGCATCGGGAGATCCAGGAGACGGTGGGACATGCAGAGGTGGGGTGACGAGGAACAGGAGCCAAGGCCAGGTCTGCAGTCACCGCCTGGGTCCTGAGAGCGCCCGCTGCATGAGAAGCTGTTGCTGGAGGAACCAGTAAGTCCTCTCCTCTCCTCTCTTCACCCGTTTTTCAGGTGAAGTGCAGAACCCAGGATTTTCACTCGGGAACCTTCGGCGGTATCCTCCACGAGCCCTTGGCCGACCTGGTTGCTCTTCTTGGTAATCCTTTAGTTCATTTCACTTTTTTAAGCATCAAGGCGACTAGTGAAAAACAGTTCTTTTATTTGTTTTTCTTTTCTGAGAGGTAGAAAGTGACTGAGCGAGAACTCCCCTCCACTAGTTCTCTCCCCAGATTCCCACTGCTCTGAGCCCGCAGCCCAGAGCTCTGTCCAGGTCTCCCACTGGGGTAGCAGGAACCTCATTCCTTGAGCCATCACCACTGCCTCCTAGGGTCTGCAGTAGCAGGAAGCTGGAGTCAGAGGCCGGGGCCAGGGATTGAACCCAGGCACTCTGAGCTGGGACAAGGGCATGCTAACCACCAGAAAGTGCCCACCCCTATAGTACAGTTCCATTTCACTCCTGTGTCTCTCTCTTCCTTTGGTATCTGAAATGGCTCAGAAGCAGAGGGAAGCACAAGAAAAATGGGTTCAATTTCCCATCCCCTAGGCTTAGAGTTAAGTCCATGTTATTTCTCTCTGTGGACAGAGACTCTGCTTGGAACCACGCTCCCTTCCCTTTATTGCATGTTGTGGCACACCCGGCCCTCCTCAAGGAAAAGAGGCCAGAGACCAAAGTGTGCAGAGGTCTGAGAGGCCGTCCCTGACTCTCTCACTGCAACTTCTAGAATGGGGTGGGCGGGCAGTCATGGTAATCCAAGCCCCTGAACCACAAGCTCAGGTGCAGAGACCCCGCATGACAGTTCTGAATGAAGTTAACAGTGATGACCAGTGGGAAAGGCGTAAGTGATGTCCAGGCCAAGAGCCTCTCATAGCTCTTTGTAGATGGAGCCCCATGGCAGCTGGGCCTGAAGCTGCCAGGGTCTGTGGCTCTGGGAGAGAGGGAGTAGGTCTGTCTTGGCTCTGCCATAGGCCACCTGCACGGTGCTCGGTGAGTTAATTATGCTCTCTGGTCCTGGGTTTCCTCCTTGGTAAACAGAGGACAACTGCATGTCTACTTGCTGAGTGTGGTTTTGGATCCAGTGAGAAGAACATGTGGGTGACTCCCCCTCGTGGCTGCAGCATAGAGTGTCCATCTGTGGCCAGTGAAGCACAGGTTGTCCATCAGTGGTCGGTGGACTCAGGGTGCCCATGCTGGTCAGTGGAGCACAGGGTGTCCATCTGTGGCCAGTGGATAATAGGGTATCCATCTGTGGCCAGTGGACTCAGGGTGTCTATCCATGGCCAATGGACCATAGGGTACCCATCGATGGCCAGTGGAACAGGGTATCCATGGTGGTCAGTGGACCATAGGGTGTCCATAGTGGTCAGGGAGAGCACAGGGTGCCCATGGTGGTCAGGGGAGTACAGGGTTCCATCAGGGGTCAGTGGACGCAGGGTATCCATCTGTGGCTACTGGAGCACAGGGTGTCCACTGATGGCCAGTGGAGCACAAGGTATCCATCTGTGGTCACGGGAGCACAGAGTGTCCATCAGTGGTCAGTGGACTCAGGGTGCCCATGGTGGTCATTGGAGCACAGGTTGTTCATCCGTGGCCAGTGGACCACAGGGTGTCCACATATGGCAGTGGGACAGGGTCTTCACAGCCTGAGAGAGGAGCTGTTGCCTTGCCAAGGACTCCAGCGCGGCTGTCAGATACGCCAGTGCCCCTTGGCTTCATTTGTCGAGATTGCTGTGGTTCTGTGTGGCACGGAGACACCCGAGTTCTCCAGGTGTGCCCAGCACCAAACCACTGCCCTCACCTCCTGTGGGCTGCCAGGAGTGTGTGACAGGAAGACCACATTTTTCCTGGAGAGCCAAGATGCCCAGGCTTGCTCTTCCTGGTAGCTCTTCTCCTAGTCAGGGCTGCCCAGGGCAGATTCCCTGGGAAGAAAACAAAAACATGATCTTCAGGGGTCTCCTGGCAGGAGCTTGTCCAGGGTCCTCGCAGGTGCACTTGCTTTTATATTCATAATGGATACTTTTTTTTTAAAAAAAGACTTGCTTATTTATTTGAGAAACAGAGAGGTCTTCCATCCACTGGTTCACTCCCCAAGTGGCCACAACGGTCAGAGCTGGACTGATCTGAAGCCAGGAGCTTCTTCCAGGTCTCCCACACAGGTGCAGGGGCCCAAGCACTTGGGAGCTGGATTGGAAGTGGAGCAGCTGGGACTTGAACTGGCGCCCATATGGGATGTCGGTGCTGCAGACTGTCACTCCCCCTCTTCATGGAGGAACGACACTAAACCCTGCCTAGGCTTCATATCCAAGTCACGGCACCATTATGTCGTTCCCCCTCTTCACGGAGGAACGACACAGGACCCTGCGCTGTTCTTTCGTCTGCTCGGCCCTCCCCGGGTTTTCTGCTGGTTCTTCCCGGGTTGGCTGCTGTCCCTTCCACCTCCGTGGAAGGGCGGTTCCCCCTGCCACATTCCCCACTTCCGCGGGGGAGCGGCACACCGCCGGCCGGCTCTCTCGGGGGCTGCACAGGTGTTCCTTCGGATGTTCCCCTTAGATGTTCCTGGTGCATGCCATCTCTCTCCTCTTTTATAGTCCTCCTCCGCCAATCCCAACTCGGCTGCCCACACGCCGAGTACGCTGCTCTCCTCCAATCAGGAACAGGTCCCACAGTTTATTGGTTGAACTGGAGGCAGCTGTATAGAAGTTCTTACTCCCTTCTCAGCGCCATATTGTGGGAGAGCAGATGCATAGAATAAGTCTTAATTCCAGTAACTTAGTCTAGTCCGAGTTGCTCCCAGTTGCTCCCCACACAGACGGAGGCTTAACCTACTGTGCCACAGCGCCGGCCCCGACTGATGCTCTTTTAACAGAAGGCGTTCAGATACTATGTAAGCGCCAGACTTCACAATCCTTTGATCTGCCCCTTCTGACACATGTAGCTCCTTTATGCAAGTCTTCGTGTGCCCCTCCTGGGTGAATTATAAGATGCACCCCTCTGGCTTGGAGGTCCTGGCTGGTCCTGTCAGCCTGAGGGACCAAGCTGCCGGTCTCTGCCAAGTCGTTATCAGCATCTTCTGCTGTAGAGCTTCATCCTTTCTTCCCAGCCCCACGTTCAGTAATGGGATCTCTGCAACCCCACCATCGATCCATGGCTCTGTCTACCTGTGCATCCAGGATCTATTTGTTCATCTTCCACCTTCTCGTTGTCCTAAACTATAATTCCTGGATGATACTTCCCACGCTGGACACTTTCAGAGGACGAGCTCTTTCCCTTTCACAGGTTGGAACAGTTTTCACAGGAACCCTGTGAAACCTCTGTGGTTTGTGTCTCCCTCTCTCTCTGTAACTCTGCTTTTCTCCTGTTGACCTGCCCTGTACCTTCACGCCGAGTCTTTGCAGCTGGACCATGAGCAGGGTCTGTTCCAGGAGCATTGTTGCAGCTCTGTCCTTACACAGAAGGTTGCCGGAACAAGTTCACGGCTCTATGCTCCAGGGTGGACTTGGTGTTGGTATTATTGATGGTGTTTTATGCTTTCAATTTCGGTGAGGATGAGGGAGGCAGACAAATTCAATGACAGCCAGTCCTAGTCCTTCAGCACCAGCTGTTCTGATGTTGGTTTTATTTGTTGTTTACTTGAGACACAACAAAGAGAAAAACAGTGATAGAGACAGATCAACAGACAGGCAGAGAGAGAGAGCTTCTATTCACTGGTTCACTCCCCAGATGCCTGCCGTGGCTGGGGCTGGGTGAGGCCAGAGCCAGGAGTCAGGAACTTGCTTCAGGTCTGCCATGCGGGTAGCAGGGGCCCTGGTTCTTGAACCTCCTCCACTGCCTCCCAGGGTGTGCATGGCTGGAAGTTGGAGTCAGGAACTGGAGGCCAGCATCAAACCCAGGGCTTCTTGTGGGCTTCTTACCTCCCGGGCTTAACGCTTGCTTCCATTTTTCAACTTGAATCTGACACTTATTTAAAGCACAGTGTAGGTCACTGGGCTAAATGAGGGGAGGGCTGTCCCTCGGGATTTGTGCAAAATGATCTGCAACCCGGCGCCTGCAATGCAGCAACACAAGGGGTGGAAGTCGGGGGGGGGGGGGTACGTGGGGACCAGGACCGTAGCAGTGGAACGGATAGTTGAACAGAGGGCAGTGCTGGCTCCCCCAAGTCTGCCGCCTCTCCTCCCTCCAGCCTCATGCTGTGCCTCCTGAGCTCACCCTGCAAGTGTGGGGAGCTGTCACACAGCACACTGCTCCATCCCGTTTCCTGGCTGGAACTGGGTAGCGCAGAGCCGGGCCACCTGCTGATCTGCTCACGTGGCACTGCACTTGTTGCCTTTTTTCTTGGCTGTCTTCACACGCCAGCACTGACCTGCTGTCTAGAACGTGGCGGGGCCCAGTAACCTCATGTCGGCTGCATCAATGGTTTGGAGTCTTCACCCATGCTTTGCACTTGTTGACGTGGGGTGAAAGTGTAGTGTGACACAATAATTTTCTGCCACTGATATTGTCAAAATATAATACTGAGAATATAGATCATCTGTTTATGAAGTATCTTTACTTGAGTAAAAAGTTCCAGCTGTGTTGAGGATCAAGTTATCTTTCCTTCAGACAATTTTGTGTCATTCGTATCCATTATTACACAGCTGTATACATACATATATATACACATATGTATATGTACATTTTTGATAAGTGTTTTCTCCAGGGTGTGAGCAGTGCTTACTGAATCTGGACACCTGCCTCCTCTGCAGATGCCCACGGATGACGTCTTCCATCCCCGCTGGCCGCTGTGGTGTCTCATAAGGCAGAGCAGTGTGTATGCTTATGAACTATTCAGCGGTCATGATCTATCCCTCACAGGCTAGGCCCCAAGGGCGTGAGCCTCTGATGCAAAATGAGTATTTGCCTGTACGTTACGATTATGGTTTGTGTATGTGTGTGTGCCGAGAGAGAGATCAAGGAGGCACGCTGGAACTGTCCAGTGTCTCAGACATGTATGTGCCATGGTTTTAGTATGACCTGACCCCTGGACCCGAGCAGGACCTTACACCCCGAAGTCGTAAGTCAGCGGTACCAAGTCGGTGGAAACTTAAGCCAATGCCGGCGTTGAGGAGGTGGGCCTGCTGGGGGGTTTCCCTTTGCTGGAGGGGGCCCTCCGGAGGGTGCTTCCAGGCAGGCTGATTGCAGTAGCCTCTGCTGGCCCAGCCACCGTCCCTGCTGTTAGCCGCAGCATCTGTCACCCTCACAAAGGCCAAGCCGATGGGGGCCACCTGCACTTGGACTTGATCCTTCAGAACGCTGAGCCAAGATAAACCTTCCTTTGAAAGTGGCTTGCCCCAGGTCTTCCGTTGTGGTAGTTGTAAGCTGACTAGTACAGTAATATGTGTAGGCCTTCATATATAATGTGTATGTACATATATTTTTAAATGTTTTAATAATGAACATGTATTACCTGGGAACTCAGGATAAAATTAAACTAAAAAAATGAACTTTGTGTGTGATGCAAAGTTGAGAAGTTGAGCGTGGGTGAGTCCCACTGAGGAATGCCTGTGGGGTGCAGACTCCTGTGTTTTCTGTCCGACCGTTGGCCCGCTGAGCCATACAGTGGGTCTGCTTGCAGCCCAGCCTGCCTGGTGACCAGCACCCCCCTCTGACGGTCACAATGAGGTGCACCCTGTGGCCGCCGTGGGGAACAGGGATGGTCAGGCAGGGGAGCCATCCTTGGCCCAGCTCCGGGTCCTGCTTCAGCCACTGACGTATCCACGTGGCCTGTTTTCTGTGTGTGTCGCAGGGAGCCTGGTAGACTCCTCTGGCCACATCCTCATCCCTGGAATCTACGACTCCGTGGCTCCGCTTACAGAAGATGAGAAAGACACGTACAAAGCCGTCGATCTGGATCTCGAAGAATATCGCAACAGCAGCCAGGTGGAGAAGTTCCTGTTCGAGACCAAGGTACGGCCACAAATGCATGGAAAATCTGAAAAGAGTGACGGTAAAGAATCGTGTTAGCCCACTGTCCAGTGTACTGTCTGGAGCCTGAAGCAGACGTTCCTAGGCGGGTTTTGATGTTCATGGCCACTCTCCTGTGTGCTTCACTGGGCACTGGTTTCAGACCCAACCGAGAGCGCTCACTCACTCCCTGGCCAGCCTTCCCACCATAGTCTCTGAACACGCCTGCCAGCAGGTGCAGAGTTTACAGACTGAGAAGTGCTGGAGGTTAGTCCCGGCTCCATGACCGCTAACTGTTCATTTTCCCAGGCAAATACAAGAATCTGTGGGGCCGGGTGGACTAAGGAAACAAAGAGCCGACAGGATTTGTTACCGGAGAATTCAGATTTTTCTCCTCTTTTTCTCTTTCTCATTCTCCTCCTTTGTAAATGCTTCCCTGGTCAGGTGTTTGGCAGTGGTGGTGGGTTCTGGATGAGCTGCCACACTGAGAGGAAGTGACAGAGCGGAGTGTGATGGTGTCTGTCTCTGCCCTCAGACTGGCTCACTGATGGCCACGATGAGAAAGACACCTGGACAGATGTCCGCCTTGATGCCTGGGGAGCATTTCTGAAAGGGCCGCTCTGCCACCGTTAACCACACGGCACAGCACTCCCGCAAAGAAGGGAACCGGCCAGCGGGGTGGTTCTGGCACGCCAAGGCAGGGGGGTGAGCAGCCCGGGAGCCTGTGGGAGCAGCCCACTCTGTCATCGGAACAGACGTCCCTGGGTCACCAGCGCAGGCGTATCTTATCTGTGTCACTAGTGCAGCCATGTCCAAGGAAGGTGATAATTAGCTTTTCACGCTCTTTGTCCTGAAGTGCAGGAGCTGGTGATAGGACCAACGCCACCTAAATGAGTTTTAATTAAACATTCTTTGGGTAATTTTCCAACCAGGAGGAAATCCTAATGCACCTGTGGAGGTACCCAAGTCTTTCTATTCACGGGATCGAGGGTGCGTTTGATGAGCCTGGAGCTAAAACAGTCATTCCTGGCCGAGTTGTAGGAAAATTTTCAATCCGCTTGGTTCCTCACATGAATGTGTCCGTGGTGGAAAAACAGGTAACAAACGCCCGTGGGTGTTCTGCCTGGCGGCGCCATTCCGAGTCTCCTGTCACTGTTTCATGAGCAGTTTGGTCGTTCGCTATCGCTTGTACAGTAAGAAAAGAACCGGGACAGATGTCAGGAAACCAGCTTCATTTTTGGGCAGTAATGATGTCTTTCCTCAGTTGTGTGCGATTACGTAGTTGGATCCATAACCATTTGGTGTTGGATGATGGGAAATTTTTAAAAATTAGATGGTGGCTCTGAAAGCCAGAGGGAGGGGGCAAGTGCCTGCACGTGCGTGGAGGCAGGGGGTCTCAGGGCCTGACCGTTTTCATAATGTCTGCAGTCAACGCTTTGAATGAAAATGTCATGCGTCCAAATTACCACCCTGGCACCTCTACCTTGAATAGTTTAATAGGAAGGAAACTGTTGAGTGAATGAGGTAAAGGACTATCTCATCCCAGCCTGCAGTGAGCACCAGTCTGCTGTCCTCCTTGGCAGTCCTGGGAGCACCGTGTTCTGTCTCCCTGCTCCCCACCCGCCTCTCCCTGGGAGGCGTTGCCCCTTCTCACAGCTCATCAATTCCACCAGGGCAGGGCTCTCTGTCTTGTTCACAGCGAGGTCCCCAGCACTCAGTGCCCTGCACACGACAGCATTCAGGCAAAAACGTGCTCAAGGACCAAGCGGAAGAAATACCCGAGAGGACGAGGAGTCCACAGCAGCCGTTGGGAGGGAGCAAAGTAGAGAGAAGGGTCCCGAAACGCGTCTCCCTCCGTTCAGCTTGGAACTGCTCCCCTGTTTTGGAAATCTCCCAAGTGCCTAGAGTTCCCCCAGAGACTCATCGTGGCACAGATAAGTCAAAAAAAAAAAAAAAAAAAAAGGCTGTCCCAGTGGAGCAAAGCTGTGCTTTTTGACCTTCTGGGATTTTCAGCAGACACGACTCAAACACTCTGTGCTAAGAAAGGGGCTGGCGCAGGGCTGGGCCTTGGAGGGTGGTCCAAGGAGGGAGCAAGAGCAGGCGTTTCTCCTGCCCGGTGGAGCCTGGCTCTGGTCCTCCTCAGCGTGTCGGGTCCATCAAGCTGACTGACAAGTCAAGTCAAGCCAAGGTCAATCACAATGCAGCCCCGTCAGGTCAGGTCGGGATTCCAGGCAGGTCCTTTGTGAAGGAAGATATTCGCTGTGTGAGACGGTGACGGCAGCTCCCTCTTACTATTTAAAACGTCCCCTTTCAGGTGAAGCGGCATCTTGAAGACGTGTTCTCCAAAAGAAACAGTCCCAACCACATGACTGTTTCCATGGTGGTAGGACTACAGCCGTGGCTGGCAAATACAGACGATAACCAGTATCTTGCAGCAAAGAGAGCAATCAGAACAGGTGGGGCCTTCAGATACATCGATTTTCTGGCTTATAATGGCACCAAATGGAAGCTTTCTCTCTCTTTCTCTCTCTAAATCTTTTTAAAATAAATAAATAAGTCCTTAATAAAAAAAATTGAGAAGTAGTAGAGGAGCAGGGACTAGAACTGACGCTCTGATATAAGATGCCAGCGTTGCAAGTGGTGGCTTAACCCCCTGTGCTGTGCCCCTGGCCCCACCCCTGAGACTTCTTGGCCAAGGCTCCATCCTCCCATGGGTTGGAGTCGCTAATTTGTACTTTGTGCTCTTGCAAGCCCACAGCCAGGCTGCCTGGCTGATGCTAATACCAAGTGGTCCTAGGGAGACACAGCTCAGTCAGGCCACTGGAAATTTCCACAGAAAGACCTCCTGCTATAAAATTACGAATCACATGAGAAGCTCCATTCGGTCCTGAGTCTAACACCAGTGAGCTTTCGTGATGCCAGAAGGCGGCGCTGCCCAATCTGGGATTTCCATGGGGATGCCTATTTGAATTCCGTGTGCTTGCGAGTGTTGGGCCGAATCAAATGATGGACAGGACTGGATGCGTGTGCTTGGGTGTTTCCAGCTCTTGGCCTTCAGCAAAGGACCACCTGCCAACAACAAATGGGGGCTCCCAGAAGCACAGAGGCAGTTCCGGGGTGTTTCCGAAAGCTAGGTGGGATGACACTGACCTCAGTGTTATATTCCAGAGGGAGCCGAGGCCAGCTGCCAGTGAGGGCAGAGCACGGGGCGGCATCCAGCCTCCTTAAAGCACTGTCTTTGTGGGTTTTCCATGCCGGGGCACAGACACAAACAGCCAGAGAATCAACCCGAGACTTAGAGCTGTGCTTCTCTGTGTCATCACTCCAAGCGCTCCCAGTCGTAGCGAGCATTTTACCAGGAAAGTGTGGGAGTGAGAAAAAGAGGAAGATGGCTTAGGAATGCAAACGTGAGGCCAGCTGAGGCTGGCCAGCATCGCGAGGTCTGTAATGCACGGGACACCTTGGGGTCTCCTGGGTGCTAGGCCAGTTCTGCTGACGAGGGCCAGCGGCTTCTCCACTCACACATCTTGCTTATGATTAAGGAAGAGGCAACGCAGTCTGCTTTGCTTCTCTGTTTTATTTTTCATTTCCATTCCCTCATGGGCAGCTGCCCACTAAGCTGGGATGTTTTCCCTCATGTCCTTCAAGAACTCAGGATGGCTGTCGGAACTACGAGGGTCTTCAAGAAGTTCATGGGCAGTGAGCTTTGATGAGGAAGCTGTGGATGGTTTGAAGAAAGATTCAAAAGTTTTTTGTGGCAAGATAAATTTATCCTTTAATTCCATTTTCCCTGAATACTTTGAAGTAACCTATTTTTCCTGGGAAACCTTGAAAGTTGGGAGAAATTTTTCGGTGATATTGTATATAGCTTTTGATTTGTATTTCTGTTACCAAATAACCCTGCAAAGTCTCACTTCTGTAATATTTAATTCATGAAGAAACTACAAAATAGACACATCATTTGTGTCTTGTCACCAACTCACGACTTTTCCAATCATGAGAAGACATTGAAAAAACCAAGTTGAGTTTTTTTATTTATTTATTTTTTTAACAAAACAACTGATCAGAACTCGTCAGAAAGTGCAAGGTCACAAAAGACAATGAAATATTGAGATAAGAAAAGACTAAAGAAAAGCAATGATAAAGATGCAATTTGGGATTCTGGATCGGTTCCTGGAATAGAAAAAAGGGAAATGTTGGTAAAATTTAAATAAAGTTTTGACTGTAGTTAATAATATTGTAGCATTGTTAATTTTTGATTTTAAATATTTATTTATTTGAAAGAGCTAAAGAGAGAGTGGGAGAGAAAGAGATCTTCCATTTGTTGGTTTATTCCTCAGATGACCACAAAGGCCAGGGTTGGGCCAGGCTGCAGCCAGGAGGCAGGAGCTTCATCTGGTTCCCCAACATGGGTGCAGGAACCCAAACATTTGGGCCCTTCTGCTGCTTTTTCCAGGCCATTATCAGGGAATTGGGTCAGAAGTGGAGCCATCAGGCTTCAAACCAGTGCCGTTATGGGATGCCAATATTGTAAATGGCAGCTTAACTCTCTATACCACAATGCCAGCCCCAGTTTCTGATTTTTAAAGAGTTATGTATTTGAACCACAGACTGACAGAGATCTTTCATCTGCTAGGTCACTCCCCAAATGGCCACAGTGGCTGTGGCTGGGCCAGACTGAAGCCAGGAGCCCAGAACTCCATCCAGATCTGCCACGTGCGTGGCATGGACCCAAGTGCTTGGGCCATCTTCCACTGCTTTCCCCGACGCTTCAGTAGGGAGCTGGATTGGAGGCAGAGCAGATGGGACTGAAACTGGTATTCTGATATGGGATGCTGGCAGTTTAACCTGCCATGCCATAGTGCAGGCCCCAATTTCCAATTCTTGATCATCATGGTGACATGAGATGTTAGCATTAAGGACATTAGAGTAAGGGATACAATGGAACTCAGTACTATTTTTCAGTTTTTTGAAATTTTAAACTTTTCTAAAATTACTTTAAAACAGAATTTTTCTTTTAAAATGTTTTTTAAAAGTTGATAATTGTAAAGAAGGCACCCAGAGTTTTCTTCTTGACTTATTGTCTATATTAGGATGTAAGCTGCATGACATCAAAGAACAAACGTACCCTAAGCACCAAATCTGAAAGTAAAAGAAGAAGGAAGAGAAAATAGAAAAAGCAAATACCATAGTTGAGGGGTTGGTTACTGGAGGCAGTGTTGTCATTATTCTGTTCAAATGTCTTCTCACCTTTCAGTGTTTGGAAGAGAGCCAGATATGATCCGCGACGGATCAAGCATTCCAATTGCCAAAATATTCCAGGATACTCTTCAGAAGAGCGTGCTGATGCTTCCGCTCGGAGCCGTCGATGACGGAGAGCACTCCCAGAATGAGAAGATCAACAGGTGAGCTGCTTCCTGTGCGGGCCGCTCCCTCACGGCACACGCTGAGGTTCTCCGTACCGCCCACTGGGGCACTCAGACACCTGTTTCTCACCTCTGGAGGTGGGGAGGTCCAAGATCATTGTGCTGGCTGGTTCAGCCCCTGGGGAGGGCTCTCTGCCCAACTGTGCGATGGCTGCCCTCTCTCCACCATGTTAGGAAACAGGGAGAGGTGCAGAGAGGGAGAGGGCGTGTGCTTGGGGTCTCTTCCTCTAGCCCCAGGGCCTGCTCCTGTGGCCTCATCTGACCTCTCGCATCTCCTGCAAATGCAGTCATGTCAGAGGTTACAACGTCAACAGGTGGGATTTGGAGTGCACAGTGTTTGGTCTCTAACAAGGAGTTTTAGGAATGTTTGGTGGGCACACTGTTGGCAGATCATACAAATCTCCCAGGCCTCCCAGTCTAGTGAGAAACAAAGACACGTTTGGCCGCGATGTGGGTCGTGTCAAGGGTCAGGAAAATGGATTTAGATTTGAGTCCTGGACTCATTCCCACTTCCTAGTAATCCACCACTTTCACGTGCAGCTACCAAGTGGCTTTCTCAGGAGTACGTCAATACCACACATGGAGGCCGGCGCTGCAGCTCACTAGGCTAATCCTCCACCTGTGGGGCCGGCACACCTGGTTCTAGTCCCAGTTGGGGCGCCGGATTCTGTCCCGGTTGCTCCTCATCCAGGCCAGCCCTCTGCTATCACCTGGGAGTGCAGTGGAGGATGGCCCAAGTCCTTGGGCCCTGCACCCGCATGGGAGACCAGGAGAAGCACCTGGCTCCTGGCTTCGGATCAGCACGATGCGCTCGCCGTAGTGGCCATTGAGGGGTGAACCAACGGAAAAGGAAGGCCTTTGTCTCTCTCTCTCTCACTGTTTAACTCTGCCTGTCAAAAAAAAAAAAAAAAAAGTAAATACTACACATGGAATTTATGCTATGAAATCTTTCTGTCAGTCTTTCCCGCCTTCATCGGATGGAGGTTGTAACAGAGGTCTCTTTGTTTTTCCTTTCGTTAGGTGGAATTACATAGAGGGATCCAAGCTGTTTGCTGCCTTTTTCCTGGAGATGGCTAAGCTGCACTGATCGTGATGGAGCCTCCCAGCTGGATCTGTCCCACGGACAGGTCCCTTCTCCACACCCATGGACAGGGACAGAATCTAAATATCCAGAGGATTTCGGCCCAGTAAACTATGTTTGTTTTTCCTGCCATATGAAATGTCTGGGGCCATTTGAACCAACGATAAAGAATATTAAAGATTGAGACACTGGACATGGTGTGAAGTCTGTCCCCCATTGCATACCCTCACAAAGTCACAGCTGCCTTTAATAAGATGATTCCCCAAGTCCTGTGCAGTGGCCAGGACAGGACTCACTCTGCTCTTCAAGCCGGAGTAGGACAGTTCCTCAGTGGTTGGACTCTTTGCAATTTGGTTGGCACAATGACTCGTCTGCTCCCCAGGTCCTGAGGTGCTCCTGGCTAGTCACCACTCCATCCCACTCAGCACTCGCTCCCCAAGGCTTTGCTGCGCTCTCCCTTCATCTTATTAATAGCGGTGCTGGGCTCCACCACCAGCACTGGTGATTTCCCTCTGGACTCCTTTTTCAGAGTTACTAAAGCCTGGTACTAGATTCACCTCTTGCCTCTCCATCATTTATTTTTTCCCTGCTTCTTGAAGAGTTCTGAAGCTCAAATGATCCATATTCATGTCCTTAAGCCATTTGGGATTCCTTGTGCAAGGATGAGTATTTTTTAAATAAATTCCAAGATCCTTTACATTTCCTGTGATCAATGTCACTTTGTTAGCCTCTGCCTGCTGTTCGTTCTTCCCATCCCATTGGTAAAGACTCTCTCTCTGGCATCTGTGCCCTCGTAAATCCACTGTAGCAGAATCAATCTTGATAGAGTTTCTCTCACCCCATTGGAACTTTACTCACTGACTACATCTAAATTGCTCAAAGCTTTTAATAGCGTGTGTTTTAGATAGAGAACGAATCAACCTTGACACCAGTAACACAGTCTAAATTTAAAGCCATCAGCTAATGCTGCATTCATTAATCATTTTAGTTAACCATCTTGTTTGGCTTGATTGGGTTTGATGGTCTAAATAAACAGAAATAAAACCAGAATGTAATTTTTCTACAGATGAGTATATGTAAATAATTCAACTCAATCTTTACAAATTCTTTATTTAAATCACGTTAATGGAAAAGAATTTAAGAGTTTAATAAGAATGTTTCTCTTACAACTCCAAATAAAAACAAAGCATTAACACATTTGCCTTCAACTTTTTTTTTTTTTCCATATCTCTGTTGGTTCTTAAAATGTCAGTTTGAAAACGTGTGGCATCACATTTCTAATGACTATACCGTGTGGTCAGTGCTCACAATAGTGGACCCCCACTGAGCAATCAGCCTGAGGGGTGGGTGGGGGGCATTCATGAAGGCTTCTATTTACCCGTTATTTTGAAAGCTGGAGACTTTAAACCAGGGTGTGACTGCTAATGCTGGCCATCATCAGACCGCCGTGGAACATCAACAGGTGTGTGGTTTTTGTGCTGTTAAGCACAATGAGCGCTCATGGGTTATGCTGGGTTTTTGGCATTTTCATTGAACCCACCTGATTTATTTGATATTGTTCCTGGAGATCAACAGTGCAAAAGATTTCTGATGCCAATTTATATATTTTAAAGGGTTCATATTAGTCAGTTAAGGAAAGTTCATTATAAACTAATTGTAACCATTTCTGAACAACGTAGTGTCAGTTTTATGAAGTCACTAAACAATAAGACGTACTCACTGATCTTCACTCCTGCTGAGTCTCTCAGGCCAGCAGTGTCTTGGTTAATTATTCAGCTGCCACCAAGAGGGAAGGGAAGGAAGAGAATAGTTACTGAGGTTGTTAAGCCTTGGAGATTCAACCTGGAATGCCAGAGTTCAGAGTCCACGTCTCTGCCACCCAGAGTCAGGACGGGTGTCCCCAGCTCATTCCCCCAGTTTTCTACCCCATGCTGAGCCATGTGGTTACTGATTCTGCCATGACTCAGGAGCTGGAAGGAAGTACTGATATCAGAAAATGGGGTGCCATACCATATCACCATGTGCTTATTAATAAATCCCCAATATTAATAAGCCTGTGTGGGTTCTTGCCTAATATTCAGAGAAGAATTCTGAATACCGGCATAAATGAACAAGGCAGCATGGTACATTTTAAGCTTTTTATTCAGTGAGAAAGATGCACAGGAGAGTGAGGGCCCTATCTATAGGAGAGGGAAATCTGGGTCATACCTAGTACCGGGAGCCAGCCACGTGGAGGACCATGCGGACCAGAAAACCTGGGGCAGGTAGCCCAAAGGCCACACGGCCTGGAGGCACAGGGGCAGCAAGTGCCCACACTGGCAAAAAGCCAAAGAAAAGAAAAAGGGCCAGGCACACTGTGTCCTGGCTTTTAATCCACTTCCAAAGGGGAGTGGTTAATTAACCTGATTGGCTGATGGGCACACAGGTGTGGCCAGGTAGGGGCATGAGGTCACACAGAGGTGTGGTCTTCCAGCTCACAAATCTGATCAGTTTTATCCTGTACGCCTGCCTACATCAGTACCTCCCAATGTTGTCTCATTCAGAGGGGTGAGAGAAATTTCCCCAGTGACAGGCAAGGTCAAGCCATCAGCCATAAGGAGGCAGGGAAGTTGAGTGAAAGAGAAATTCAAATATTTTCTTTAAAAAATTTACTAAAGAAATAGATGTATGTGCACACAAATGGTGGCCCAGAATTCTTGGAGGTCTATTCACACATCAATCAGGACAGGACTTCATGGCACTGAAGGAAGGCAATGAATGGGTTTCATTCGTAGATGTAGCACCTTCAAACTCATACAACTATTGTGATGAGGTGCAGAGATTGTATTAAATGGATTCGGAAGGTGCTTTTGTGCAAAACAGTGAGGGCTAGAAATGTGTTTTGGTTTTATGCTGTATTTGTAAAATTGAACGTGCTGGCCTGGGACCCTTGCCTGGGTGTTTGCCCGAGAGTGTGGGTGCCCTGGTGGGTGACACTGCCTCTCTATCCTTGCCGCTGGGAGAATGCACTGACAGATGGAGGACTTGTCTCGGGCTTCTCCTCACTGCTCGTGCTCCTGCCCGGCGTGTCCATCACTCCTGTGGGCGACTCCCAGCCCAGCCAGTCCTCTGAAACACGACGCGTCCAAGTAGCACCCTCTGACTTGCTTCACCTCTGGGGCTCTGTGCTTTGGTAAATGGAACACTGGCCAGTTGATAGCAGAGCCCTGAATCTTTGACATTTCCCTCTCTTTCAAATGTCGTTCAATAGCAGGATCAGTGGACCACCACTTCCTTTCCTCTCCACTGTCACCTCCCATGGTTCATAAACCAAAACTTCTATGCCTTGTGTCCGGTCTCTTGCTTACAGGGGAGTTCCTCTCTGCTGTACCTGTCATACGGCAGCTTGCAGGTCCCTCCTATCCCAGCTTCAAATCCTGGGAGCGGCCTTGTGGTCTCAGGAAAAAGTCTGCATTAGCAGATGGCCTACAGTCCGCTCTCTGATTTACCGGCTTCACTCTGCCTTCTTGGTGCACCCCAACAACCCCACATTCTCAGCCACCGAGAGCTGGCTGCCTCCTTGGATTATTGGCCCCCTCCTGGAATACTCTCAGGAACCCCACGTCTGGTTAAATCCCCCCCAGTTATTCTTCAGATATCAGCTGAGTTGTAATTTTCAGGGAAACCCTTTTCTGATTCCCCCTGGGTACTTGAGCGTCCCTATTACATACACTACCTGAGTCCCCATAGTTGTTGTTGTTTTTTTTTTAAGATTTATTTATTTATTTGAAAGTCAGAGTTACACAGAGAGAGAAGGAGAGGCAAAGAGAAGAGAGAGGTCTTCCATCTGCTGGTTCACTCCCCAATTGGCTGCAATGGCTGGAGCCGTGCTGATCCGAGGCCAGGAGCCAGGAGCTTCTTCCGGTCTCCCACGCGGGTGCAGGAGCTCAAGGACTCAGGCCATCCTCACTGCTTTCCCAGGCCATAGCAGAGAGCTGGATTGGAAGTGGAACAGCCCCTGTGGGGTGCCAGCACTGCAGGCTGCAGCTTACCGGCTACACCACAATGCTAGCCCCCCCCCACCATAGTTCTTTTGTAACATTTATTATCATTGCAATTAAGCACATCTTTGCGCAAATGGAACCCTGTGTGTTCCCCTACTAGTCTGCAAGATTCTTGGAAGTGGAGACTGACTGGTTTACTGTGGGCTCTTCAAAGTTCTAGGCATATAGTGTGTGAATGAAGATCTCAGCACTCGTGTGGTTCATCCACATGCTGCTACACAGTCATACTTTTCATGCATGTCTCTCCCCCACTCAGGTTTTTTTTTTTTTTGACAGGCAGAGTTAGGTAGTGAGAGACAGAGTGAGAGAGTTATAGAGTTAGACAGTGAGAGAGGTCTTCCTTCCGTTGGGTCACTCCCCTAATGGCCGCCACAGCCGGGGCTGCGCTGATCCGAAGCCAGGAGCCGCGTGCTCCTGGTCTCCCATGCGGGTGCGGGGACCCAAGCACTTGGGCCATCCTCCACTGCCCTCCCGGGCCACAGCAGAGAGCTGGACTGGAAGAGGAGCAAGTGGGACAGAACCGGAGTCCTGACCGGGACTAGAACCTGGGGTGCTGGTGCTGCAGGCGGAGGATTAGCCTAGTGAGCCGGGGTGCCGGCCCCACTCAGTTTTAAGCTCTACAACACCAGAGACCGTTTTCAACTAGTCCCTGTACTTTCAGAATCCAGCAGTGTCCTGCCTACTGATTGCTAAAAATCTTCCTCCTTATTCTGCCCCAGCAATTCTGGGGGTGTCCTGAGCCAGGCCTGCTCTACCCTTCTTTATGCTCCATTTCACCAGGTTGAAACCTTCTTAGGAGCGGCTGGTTCTGGGAGGAAGCAGCAACAGCAAGTTCCGCTGAAATGTCCACGGCTGGCTGATGACCCTGCTAAGGCAAGACTGTGTCTTCACAGGGCCATGCCTCCATGCAGAGACCACAACACAGCTGCTGAGAGCCTGCAGACGCTGTATCCCTGCTTGATGTGGCCTGCACAGTGTCCTCAATGACACTGAGTAGGATGACAACAAAACCGCAGACTTCTCTCTCACACACAGAAACACGGGGGCCCCTCTTGAGCAATCAGAGGACTGGGGAACACTGATCCGCTGTTCCTGCTGGGAGACAACAAGGCAAGCTGAGTCTACGCACTTTTGGCAGGAAGCACAGTGCCTGATCCACAAGATTTGTTCAACAAATGTTTTAGAAGAAGTAGACAAAGAAAGAAGCTCACAAAAGAAAATAAATGCTATTCTCTCTGACTTCTCACTTCTAGTGGTAGCTAGTACCAGACTCTGTTTTGTGATAGGGCCAAATGCATTTTAAATACCATCTATTTTAGAAGATAAGACACTATTTTAAGTGTTTAGGATTTATTCTGAAAAAATTTTAAAAGGAGGGGAGAGGGAGGGGCCAGCACTGCGGCATAGCGGGTAAAGCCACCGCCTGCAGTGCTGGCATCCCATATGAGTGCCGGTTCGAGTCCTGGCTGCTCCACTTCCGGTCCAGCTCTCTGCTATGGCCTGGGAAGACAGTGGAAGATGGCCCAAGTCCTTGGGCCCCTGCACCCACGTGGGAAGATCCAGAGGAAGCTTCTGCTTTGGATCAGCACAGCTCCGGCCATTGTGGCCAGTTGGGGAGTGGACCACAGATGGAGGACCTCTCTCTGCTTCTCCTTCTCTCTCTGTGTAACTCTTTCAAATAAATAAGAAATATTAAAAACAAAAAAGGAGGGCAGAGAGAGAGAGAGTGAGCGAGCAAGAGAGAGAGAGAGACAATGCTCGCAGCCAGTGGTTTGCTCCCTGAATAGCTGTAATGGCTGGGACTGTGCCAGAGCCAGAATCAAGAACTCAGTGGGTAGCAGGCTCTCATCACTTGAGCCATCACCTGCAGCCTCTCAGGGTCTCCACTGGGAGGAGCTAGAGCTCGGGCTAGAACCCAGGTTCTCCAACAGGGGACACGATGCCCTACATGTTGTTTTCAGTGTATTCCATATTATCTGTTATTTCAAATGCTGTTTTTCAACTCTAATTGATTATTAATTGAAAATGTAATGGCCAGTGAATTAAAATAGCATTTGAGGGCTCTATTGTATAAGACAAAACAAAATACTTGTTTGTATTTTACTTTAACTTCTCTGTTAATGTATCTATGCTTAGATCCAGCAAATTATGGTA